GCTGGTGGGAATGCTGAAGGGTACAATCCTTGTGAAGAAAATTTGTCAGTATCTAACAAAGCCGAGTATGCATTTACCTTTTGTTTCAGGAATTCCACTTCGAGCAATTTACCTTGGAGATGTATCTTCAAGTATACAAAAATAGAAATGCCCAAAGTTATTCATTATAGCATTAATCACAATAATCACAAAATATTTAAAATTTTTCCAAAGAAAGGAGAGTGGTGAAATAAATGTATGCCACATCATGGAGTGGGTTTCCCGGGTGGCTCAATGGTAAAGAATCTGCCTGCCAATGGAGGAGACCCAGGAGACACAGGTTCGATCTCTGGGTTGGGAAGATCCCCTGGAGGAGGAAATGGCAACCCACTCCAGTATTCTTGCCATCCAGGGACAGAGGAACATAGTGGTAGTGGGCTATAATCCATAGGGTCGCAAAGACTCAAACATGACTGAACACACACACACACAAGTGCGAGTACTGTGCAGCTGTTAAAAAAAAGAATGAGGACTTTCTCTATGAATTGGTATGAATAATTTCCCAGATATATTTTAAGTTGGAAAAAAATGCAAGTGCAGAAGAGTGATTATAGTATTGTACCTTTTGCATTAGAAGGAAGAGGAATGGAAAAATAGATGCGTATCAGCTGAATTTCTGCAAAAAGAAAGGTAGAGATACCAAAACTAATGAAATTGATTACCTGTGGAGGAGTGGGTGGGGATGGTGATGAGGGGATAGAAACAAACTGGAAGGGATGAGAGAAATCTGTTAACTAAACTATGTCTGTGAACATTTGACTTTTGAACTATTAATGTTTTAACACATACTCGCAGCAAAAGTAATAGAAATCAAGGGGAAAGACCTAAAATATAAACAGAAGCAAATGACACTAGCTGTATTTCAAATGAATAATATAACCACACTGAAGTGGTAGGTTGGGGGGACACATGTATACATGTGGCAGATTCATGTTGATGCATGGCAAAAAATCATCACAATATTGTAAAGTCATTATTCTCCAATTAAAATAAGTTAATTAAAATAATATTAATATGGTAATAACGGTCTAATACTACTACTCATATTAGAAATGTTTAACGTACTGCTAATAGAAATAATAGTAGTTAAAAAAAAAAAGAACTAGCCTAAGTAAATTTTGAATGTAGTATTTTGACTGAAGATAAAAAGAACCATAAACTGAATCCTAAAGAGTAGGTTCGGTGAGTTTATTGGCTGTTTTGTTTGCTTAACAATTCTGAAACTACTTTTGGTGTATTCTGTACTCCAGAAAATAAGTAAATATACTGAGGCTGGACATGGAACAACAGACTGGTTCCAAATAGGAAAAGGGGTACATCAAGGCTGTATATTGTCACCCTGCTTATTTAACTTATATGCAGAGTACATCATGAGAAATGCTGGGCTGGAGAAAGACAAGCTGGAATCAAGATTGCTGGGAGAAATATCAATAACCTCAGATATGCAGATGACACCACTCTCATATGGCAGAAAGTAAAGAGGAACTAAAAAGCCTCTTGATGAAAGTGAAAGAGGAGAGTAAAAAAGTTGGCTTAAAGCTTAACATTCAGAAAACTAATATAATGGCATCTGGTCCCATCACCTCATGGGAAATAGATGGGGAAACAGTGGAAACAGAGTCCGACTTTATTTCTCTGGGCTCCAAAATCACTGCAGATGGTGACTGCAGCCATGAAATTAAAAGACACTTACTGCTTGGAAGGAAAGTTATGACAAACCTAGATAGCATATTAAAAAGCAGAGACATTACTTTGCCAACAAAGGTCCATCTGGTCGAGGATGTGGTTTTTCCAGTGGTCATGTATGGATGTGAGAGTTGGACTGTGAAGAAAGCTGAGCACCGAACAATTGATGCTTTTGAACTGTGGTGTTGGAGAAGACTCTTGAGAGTCCCTTGGACTACAAGGAGATCCAACCAGTCTATCCTAAAGGAGATCAGTCCTGGGTGTTCATTGGAAGGACTGATGCTGAAACTGAAACTCCAATACTTTGGCTACCTCATGCAAAGAGTTGACTGATTGGAAAAGACCCTGATGCTGGGAGGGATTCGGGGCAGGAGGAGAAGGGGACAACAGAGGATGAGATGGCTGGATGGCATCACCGACTCGATGGGCATGAGTTTGAGTAAACTCTGGGAGTTTGTGATGGACAGGGAGGCCTGGCGTTCTGTGATTCATGGGGTCACAAAGAGTCAGACACAACTGAGCGACTGAACTGAACTGAATGGAAGGCAGTTTCCTAAGTGTCAGAAGGGAGTTACAAATACAGAAAAGGGAAAGATGAAAATGACTCTGTGGTATTATATTAGTATTAGAGAAATCAATATGAGCTCATGGTTATAGATCAGGGGCCATCAAACATTTTCTGTAAAAGGCCAGATAACAAATATTTAAACTCTGAATCATAGCACAAAAGCTGTCATAGGTGGTACGTAAACTGATGAACATGGCTATATTCCAATGAAACTTTATTTATGGACACTGAAATGTGAATTTTATATAAATTCCATGTATCACAAAACATTACTGTTTTGATGTTTTCAACCATTAAAATATATTACAACTATTTTTGGTTTACAAGTCTTATAAAAGCAGGCAGTGGGCCAGATGTGGCTCATGGGCATACTTTACCAACCCTTGATAGAGAGATGATGATAGATAGATAGCAAATGTGACCAAATGTTTAAAGTGGAGAGTCTGTGTGAAGGATGATACAGTTCTCTATAGTGTTATTGAACCTTTTCTATAAATCTGAAATTACTTTAAGGTATTTTTTTTTATTGAAAGATAATTGCTTTACAAAATTTTGTTGTTTTCTGTCAAACCTCAGCATGATGAGATTTTTTTTTTGATGTGACCATTTTTAAAGTCTTTATTGAATTTGTTACAATATCGCTTCTATGTTTTTATTTTTTGGCCACAAAGCACTTGGGCAATCTCAGCACCCCAAACAGAAATTAAACCTGCACCCCCTGTATTGCAACACAAAGGCTTAACTACTGGATTGCCAGGGAAGTCCCTGAAATTACTTTAAAACAAGCAAAAAAAAAAAAGCAAGTACTTTTTATAGCTACTGCTGACAAAAAAAAAAAAAGCTACATTAACCACATCATTGGCCTAAGAAGTAATGTCTTACCTTTCAAAGCATCTGCTTTTTCCTGGATGTCCATGGACCATGGCTAGAAGCTACTACGGCCATTGTGTCAAGTTTCTAATTTGTCGCTTAGGGTGTTATTTTTCTCCTGTTCATCCTTGCTCTCCATCTCTCTTAACGAGTAATGAGGTCGCTGGGCTGGTAATTTGTATGTGACCTTGTAATTTTCTACAATGTATGAATTTTTTGGTCTGCTATAATTAAATGGACTAAATAAAAGGTGCTTATCAGAAAATGCCCCATTAGCTTGGAAATCTGTGATAAATCCTTTCTGGTGTCCTTAATGTATGATTTTGAAATTCAGTTTCACAGCAAACTTTGCTTATTTCACTAGCCATAATCTGGTGATAGCCAAGGTGAACAGTGAGCAAAAGTATCTTAAGATAATACAAATATGAACTGGATAATGTTTACATTAAGATACTTTTTATACAAGAAGTGTAAACAACTTGCAAAGAAAACCTCTATTGTACAGGCTTGAAATCATTCTATAGTTCTTTGCTGGCTTAATTCCAACAGAATTCAGTCCTACCTTGATTTATTATTGTAGGTAAAGCCATTCTTTGATCTCCATTGATAATGAAGATGGTATTAGTCATAGCTGAAATTTTTTGAGTGCTGCTCTGTACCCAGATCCACACCAAATGTTTTTCATCCTTTTTTTTTTTTCATTTAATCTTAACTAAAAAAAAAACAAACGAGTAACAATTATCTCTTTTTTTATAGATAAGGCCTAGTGATGTTATAAGTGACTTGGCGAAGTTCTTACATTTAGAAAACATGGTGCCAGGATTGGCCTGGGGAGCCAGTCCTCTTAGTTTCCTGTTGAGACTCTCTCCCATTGTAGATAAAGACAGCAGGAAATGCAGAAATTTAGAAAGAAAATTTGGGGTCATGAGGACATGTTCCCTTTGAGAAGAACAAGGTCGGTGATACAGAGTGCTAACATCAATGTGAGAAACAGAATTAACTTTGGAAAATCCTTCACATTCCCTTTCATGCTCTGTTCCCATGAGGAAGCTCAGTAGCAAGTTTAGAGATGAGAAAGGCTTCAATTAGAACTCATGCCTTCCAAATGCCGCTGACTTGTGTCACACCCACCCAGGTATCTGCTAGAGGAACAGGAAGACAGAAGAATGAAAAGAAGAAAAGTAAAGAGACTGGGAAATAAGGTTGGAAGTTGTAGGGAGAGGAACGGGGAATGTAGGAGGTGCTTTATGGAGTGGTTTTGCTCCCATTCATACTGGGAGAACAGAAGTGATGAGCCACTCAAGGGCCCAGCGGCCCTCTCTCTCCCCTCTTTTGCCCTCCCCTGCCCCAAAGCCCAGAGTAAATGCATACCAGCTCCCACCATCATGGCTGGTCCAGACAGCTCCAAGGCTAACTTCTCTTTTGAATCACTGAGTGGATTCTTGTCATCCATGACGTGACTGGTGGCTTTGTCAGGCTTTCTTATGCAAAGGTCCTAAGGAGCTTTATCTCTGTATTTCTTCTGACTCTTTGAAATAAGTTTCTCAGGTGAGAGCAGCTGTGCTGTAGTTGAAGATCATTACTGTGTTTTTCAGAGGAATAGTGATCATCATTAAGATGGTTTATTGAACAACTAGTTAGTAAAGTAACTGACTTTGTATTTACAGATTTATAAAACTGAGTATTAATTTCTGGACATCTTATTTTCTGAAATATGAATGAGGAAAAATGTCTCTTTGTGGAAGCCCCAGGGACTTAAAAATCCAGGGAAAAGGTAAAAATCTATATATATGGAATTACAAACATGTGGTTCATTTTTTTGTTCTTTTCTTTTTAGGGACTGGTTAAATATGCTGAGCCCACCAATTGTTCCTCCCAGTCAACAGTCCGCAGAGAGGCATCAGGATTCTTCAGGAAGCTTGAGTGTTCAAGGTGGGAATATGAAAAATGCCAAGCATAAAAAAATAAAAATAATTAACTATAAATAGAGCAAATCAATCACTTTGAGATTTCACTATTTTTATTAAATGATAATCACTTAGACTCACACATTGAAAATGAGGTAATCTGTGCCTCATTTTATAGGGTGATAGGTTCTTTGCAACTAAAAGGAATTTAAAAGAGAAATTGTTCTTGTTCTCCTGAAGGTTAATCCCTGGGCAAAATATAATTTAAAGCATAAGAGCATGGCTTTGGTGTCAAATTGACCTTCATCTGAATTCCAGCTCTAGCAAATCCTGCTGTGTGACTTTTATGAGTTTCAATTGTATAAAATAAAACTAGTAATAGGTGGTGCCCACCTGCACGCTTTTCGTGACGATTCAGTGAGGTGTACTGTGCATGCAGTGTTTGGAATAGCACCTGCAAAATGCCAGCTGTTAGTACTGTTGCAGGGCAGACCAAATATTCCATGTGTTTGTTAATACAGAGATACAGCCTTTTCATTAAAGCAGAGGCTGACACGGAGCTGTAACGGGTTGTATTAGTGATGGAAAAATTCAAAGGAAGCAGGAATGAAAATTTGCCTGGGGTTCTCTTTGTTGATGAGAGCCTCTAAGATGAACCATTTAAATTCTGGCTGTGAGCAGGGAACGTGACTGTCAGGAGTGCTGTAGAGGAGGAACAGAAAAGAATCTTTAGCGAAATCAGAGGGCTTGAGATGGGAGGGGTGGGGAGAGATCTAAAATGCATAATCGGAGTGACAGACAACTTCAGAGTGGGACTCCCTGAGATCGTTTTCCAAGTTGGATTGTAAAGATGGGCACGCTCTGTCTATAGTCTCTTAAAAAAAGAAAAGGGAATTGAAACCAGGATAAATTACCCTAACAAAGTTGCCAGTTTTATTTTTTTCCCTAACTGCCCCAGGGAAAAAGTGGAGCATCCCATTTTTCTTCAGGTACGGAGAATCCAGAGTGAGAGCTCATACATCTGAGTTGTGCATTTTGGCTGCCCAGGGGATGGCAGTGTCACTGTGATTTACTGTCTGAAATAGACGATGCCCCTCAAATTGAGACTCTTTTTAGAGGTGCACGTTTATAATTACTTATGACAGAAAAACAGAATCTTGGCTGTCAGGAGGAGACCTTGCTGTGAGGAAACAAATAATGTGTTACGTTAAGTGTCCTGAATAAGCCACAGGAACTGAGAACATGGTCCTTCATCAGAGGCACCGAAGGTTTATGGTGGTGACAAGCGGCCGAGAGGCTGTCTTAAAGTCGCCTTTGCAAAGTGATGTTTTGACAGCAGGGGCGCAAATTATGTTGAAGGTAAATAGAACTTGCATCGAAGACAAAGTAACACATTAAATTCAGAGGACTGTAGAAATGTTCTGACCAATGTTAACCCAATCTGGCACCCCTTCTCCCTGTCACCCTAGATTTCCATTTCTGAGCCTTTCCCTTTTCTGATAGGCTTAGATAATTCATAGCTAATTAAGACCATCAAAAAGTAATGTTTCTTATTTGCTTAATCTTTACATGTCATCTACTTCATTTTAAACAACACAGCATACACTGAGCTTGTTTCCGTCTGTTCTTATAAAATGTTTGTCAAAGCAAAATACTAGGCTCAAGCCTCGGGTATGTATCATCAGAAGGAGGGGGCCACACAGGTGTGGCAGTCTGGGAATCTTCCTGGGTTCCTGTAGCTCGATACCATTAACTCAGCATTTAATATATGCCAGACACTGCTCAGTGGTTGATTTAGTCCTCAAAAGTAAGTCACACAGAGAAAGACAAGTATTGTATGATGTCACTATATAGAGAATCTAAAATTTGATACAAATGAACTATTTACAAAACAGAAACAGTCTCACAGACATAGATAACAAACTTATGGTTAACCAAAGGGGAAGGTAGGGTAGGGGATAAATTAGAGGAGTTTTGGATTAACATATGAAACTGTATATAAAATAAATTAACAACAAGGTCCTACTGTATAGCACAGGGAATTATATTCATTGTCTTGTAATAAACTATGATTGAAAGGAATTTGAAAATGAATATATATATGTTTATATACATATATATGTCTGAATCACTGTATACCAGAAACCAACACAGCATTGTAAACCACTATACTTCAATTGTAAAAACATGTAAAAAAAAAATTAGTCCTCAGCAGCACAATGAGGAAGATACTATTTTTGTATATGTAATTGTTATTCTTACAGCTGGAGAAACTGAGACTTGGAGCCCTTGAATAATTTGCCCAAGGTTAGTCATTGGCAGAACTGGGATTGAAATTCAAGCAGCCTGGCCCCAGAGCCCAACCACTGTTTTCACTTTTTAATTTTTTTTGGTTTAGAACCAAGTAAATAAATTACCTAATCAAAAAATACTGTATATAAAACCCAGAATTCTTTTCTGTTGAGAGTTCCTAATCTACAAGAAAACAAATGAAAATATCTCAAGGGCTGAGTAGCTAAGTTCTTTCAGGGGAAAGAAAAAAAAAAGGCAGATCTCTGGTCACCTGTTGCAGCCCTGCCTCCCCATCCCATGCAGTCTTGTCGCAAATGACCGGTGGCCACACTCTCTCCAGCAGGGTGAGTTGCCGAGGGGTGCACATACCGTGTTGACCAGATGTAGGCAAGGCCAACAGAGTGAAGGGCCAAATGAAGAGAGAATGACTGGGGTGCAGGACTGATGGACCTGGGTGTTTGCTGGGCCCACCTTCTCAAAGACCTCTCTCGACAATCTTATGAGTCAGTCAGTCTCTCACTTTACCCTGTGCCTTTTCATCACAGCCTTTTCACAGTTTGTAACTCATGATTCATTTACTTGTTTCTTGTCTTTTTTCCCAGGTAGTCTAAGAGTTTTTAAAAGCAGAGACTGTCAGTTTATGCACCCCTAGATTCCTAGTACCTGTGCAATTTCTCGTATACATTATAATAGATACTCTGGGTTCTCGTTAGAACACGGGAAAGGAAAAAGGGAGGGAAAGAGGGAGAGAAATGGCATCCAACTGGTCATTTCTTGTAATAATAACCTTTAAAGAAAGAAAATCAAGGTAGTTCATTGAAAATCCAACTTTCAGTATTTCCCCCAGTTCCAATTTTTGGTATATCCGTACAATTGAACAATGAGGGTGTTGAACTTAGACCCATACACTGTAGCAGTTAAAACAGTTGTAAGTCACTGTATGCAGTGGCTCTTTATGTTTAAGCAATGAAGAGACTTTTCTGTCAAATGAAATCTGATATGAAATCCCAATATTCAAAGTTGTTACAAGTAGAACCTCTCTGAGTGAGTGTGAGTTAGGGTCTCAGAACCCTGCCATGGGGCCCTAAAAACAGTTAAAAACACTGATGTAATCCATCACCCTCATTGTGACCTTGCCCAAGGTCAAATGCTCAGTCAGAGTTAGAATTTGGATCCAGGTTTCTTCCACAGCAGTGCCTTTCTGCAGAACCATCACACTGGGATGTGAAGGTAATTTTGAAGATGGATTCACAAGGAAGATGGAGTCTCTTCCATCTTCACACTTCTCGGATGAAAATAACAAAAACATTTATTTCACCTTCCTTGACCCAGGCCTCCATGTACACTTTAATTCTCAGAATTAGCCTACAGATATATAGGTACTATTGTTACCCCCTTTTACACATGAACCCTAGGACTTAGAGCAGGAGAGTGATGTGATGAACCACCACGTCCATCAGACATTGAGAGGCTGAGATGTGCCTGTGCAGCTAGTGGCATAATGGGAAGATGGCCTGACCAACACATAACTCTGGACGACTTGCTCCAGGCCATACAGAAGTAAACACATGCATTATACAGGCCCCGGAGCCCCTTCTTTATTCAGTACAAATTCCACAGTTTCTGTTTGGCCAGAATGTCTCCAGTGTGTGAATTCTGCCGTGAAGTGAACAGCCCACCTCCCAGCAGAGCAACCAGCCGGCAGGAATAACACTGAGCTCCGTGCCTTTCAACTGGATGGAGAAGCAGGCAGCTGTCAGCCGTTCCTCTTGGGCCACAACACACTTGCCGAATATCAATCACCATGGGCACGGGTGCCCTTAACACTTCCTAAAAATGTGTTTTCCTGGAGACCGTGGAAAATGTTAAAAATGGGAAGTTAAGATTTCAGAACTTACTCAAGAAAACTACCAAACTGACCTTTTGAAAATGAACCAGACTGCCTGAAAAATAGTTGTCAATTTGTTTTTGACATTTGTTCCTTTACAGATATGACCCTTAAATTATTCATGCTTACCAGCTCCAAAATGGAATAATAATGCCTCTCTCTTCAGGCCCGTAAACCTTTTTTACAGTTTGCGTAGATTTTGAGTGAAGACCTTTTAGAGTTGCCAGGGTCTCATGAAAATAACATCCTTGTACCTTTTGTTCAGCAGAGCCACAGAAGATGTTCCTTTATAGACATTAATTATTCTTCCATGAGTCACAAATAGGGAGCGGATGCAGTTAAGAATCTGCCTGCAATACAGGAGCCTCAGGAGGCTGGGTCACGAAGATCCCCTGGAGAAGGGAATGGCTACCCACTTCAGTATTCTTGTTTGGAGAATCCCATAGACAGAGGAGCTTGGTGGGTTACAGTTCATAGGGTTGCAAAAAGTTGGACATGACTGAAGCAGCTTAGCACTCGTGCACGCTTATTTTATGCATATAATATCCAAATTAGTGGTAAAGAATTTATAGAAATTTCACAATGCCTCCCAGCAACCCAGAGAGAGGGGAGCATGGCCACCTGTCCTGGGTCCAACAAAGGAATCCTTTCATAGTCTGTTTCCCACCATGAAGTTATTTGACATTTACCCAATACCTTGAGTCTAAAAACAGTCTTCCAATATCTGTTTTATTAGTTATCTCACCAGACATCTTGCTTCATCGAACAACCATGGTACCCACATGTTTGACATGGCACATGTGTTAGTCGCTCAGTCGTGTCCAACTCGTTGGGGTCCCATGGAC